GGTTTGGTGCCCAATCCTCAGGTGGTGGTGGGTTGTGCACAAGTTGGTGATTGTGGTGGTGGAGCTGGTGCTAATTATTGGTCAGTTGTGATAAGTAAAAGGACACAAGTGCAACTAATGGGACATTTTATTGTGGAACGTTTCGCTCTCAGGAGAGCTTTGTGAAAAGCGATACATTTGCCACAATAAAAGTACACTAGTTGCACTTGTGTCCTTTTACTTTACATGTTGTTCAATATTATACCAAAATATATACAGTTGTGATGGAAAATAGAAAAATGCAGTATATGTGATCCATTATTAACTACATTTTGCCCACCAGTGGGATATCAAGTTATAAACAGACCTACATGAGCAGAGGAGTATGTGAGTATATATATGGAGCACAGTGTTGTGAAGGGTCAGGGAGAATCATGAAGTTGGACTTGCTGAAAGAGGTTGGATTTGAGAAGGGACTACACCACATGGGCCCGTAAGTAATTAAGTTTATTTTTCGGCCACAGGGCACATAAGTACAGTTTATCATTCACTGTGTAAATTACCTAGGATAACCTGAAAAAGTCAGGAGTGGACTTTATTTCCATTGTTAGGAATTGATGCTTGTAGGATAAACAATGGGGACATTTCCTAGCATGAGGTTTAGTTATGTTGTAAAGCCATTGTTATGTTGAAATTGTTCGAAACATGGATGAGTGATGATTCCAGATCCTGCATCTCTGAGTGTCTTTTTCTTGGTGATTTCACCCACTTTTGAGTCACGTCTTAAGCCAGTTCCTGCTCAGTTGACCAAATTTTTATCTCGCTAAATATTAACTTACCATTCTATTTGATTGAGCACAGAAACTACCCATTCAGTTATTAAACTTACCCTGTAGAAGCCACAGAAATCAGTATTTAAGAAATTCTAACTACACAAAATATAAAATAAAATTTAAGAATAGTCCCAAATAGCAATGTAGACATTTCTGGCACTAAAAAACTTTTCTCTTTTTCATTAGTCAGTCCCCAGCTCTCGGTTATGTTACATTTGCCTTCTTTTTTTAATTCATAAATCGCACGAAAAATAGAAGATGTAACTCTGTTTCTAGATAATAAAATATAAACAGGAAACTATTGGTCATGTTTACATTATTTCCAGTAATTGAAGCAGGCCTATTAAAAACTCCTTTAGAACAGATCGGGGGGACCTTGCCCGTCCTCAGGAAAAATCGGCAAAAATCAAACATTTATGATTCTTAGATCCCTCAAGGGATATTACATGATGCTGGTGAGGGTCTTTTAATATAAAAGGAATGGGGATCTATGCTCCAGTTCTTGAAATTGAGCCTGAATTCCCTCAACCTCCCCAAGGCACTGTAATAATCCCTATGGGGTTTAGGTGCCTCCCCATGATTGTAATAATAATACTAATTACGATTCTTAGAACTCAGTTTCAAGGTAGTTACCATCTGAAACCAACCAGAATCAACTAACATTTCTATAGTATGTCTTCCTTTCTATCAAAGATACCAAATAACAGCAATAAAAAACCTAAAAACCCTCTGAGAAAAATTCTGCAAAATTGCGATGTCATACCATTCATACGTTGGAGTTTTGCTTTGTCAATCATGCACTGCATAAAGGCAGCTCTTTTTTTTTATAATGCATGTCCTTTACAGACCTTTTCTCTCATATCTAGGTCAAAATTTACTGCTCACAGCTTATCTGAGTGAGTTGAGCTCATGATGTAGAACTATGTGAGGGACCCTGGCCTCACTGACTGCCACTGAAAGGGGTTAAAAGAAATGAAGGTTAAATTTTGTAATTTAAATTACTAGCCTCTTATTTACCCTACATTTAGAGCATCCAATTCCATACTTAACCCTTTGAGGGTCGACAGGCCCTCTCCAAAACTCGTTCTCAGGGTCGGCCAAATTTAAAAAAAAAAAAAATTATTTTATTCTTATGAAAGTAGAGAATCTTTTCCCGATCATAAAGACACCAAAAGTTTGAAATTTGATAGAAAACTTACGGAATAATGCTCTCGCAAAGTTAGCGGTCTCGGCGATGTTTACGCATCGGCGATTTTTGCCCACTTTGAGCCCATTTTCGGGCCAATTTCACTGTACCTAGGCGACAAAAAACATGAATATCGCTAGGAACTCCATTTTTCTATCGAATGGGTGCAAGAAACCACCCATTTTTGAAAATTCAAAAACTAATCCAGTACAGTGAGTCAGAATATAGCAATTTTGCAATTTCACACCCAATTTTCAAAAGATTGCCAATTTCCGAAATAGGGTCAGAATAAACAAGAACAGACATTCCTGGCACTAAAATGACATTCCTTTGGTCATTTAGAATCACGTCTTCAGGGCCCCTCTTATATTTCTGTTGCTTTCCATTTGAATTTTTTATTTTCACAAAAAATATAAATTTATGTTATGAAGACTACTGCATTAGTGTAAAAAAAATGGTAAAATATTATTGGTTCACTTGTGAAGAATATTAGACTCACCAGTTGACATGTATTGCACGCTTGGCACGATGTGTTTACCTTTGAAGTTTGGTTAAAAAAATCGAACCAATTCTGCTACTTTGAGCTCAATTTCATAGGCACCATTCTTTTGTAAAACCAGTCAAAAATATCTCAATTTCTGTAATATGTCTTCATTCTATAAATGAGACCAAGAAAACTAGAATACAACAATAATACATACGAAAATACACTGCAAAGCAAAGTCGCCTGATTTATTAAAAAAAAATGGGTCAGTTTTTTTTTCTCATATGACTGTTTGCTGCAGGATTTTTTTTTTAGATCTGGCACACTGACCCATCGACCCTCTTCATATGAAGGCCTACCAGCTTTCTCCCCTAGATTTTGAGGCCGGCTAGAATTTATGGAGTAAAAATAGTACGTCAAAAACCCCTACGCGTAAGACGTACTAGTACGACGAAAACCCTCAAAGGGTTAACAAAGGTTTGATGCTAAAGTAAATTATTTTGCCAACTTTAGCTAGAAATAATTTGATGGAAACTTAGTGTCAGTTAGAAAGAATATAACAGGGGGCCGCTTTACGCGTTCCGCTAATTCGGACCTGTCAAATTATGACCAAAACTCGCTATACGGCTCCCCCCACCTGACTTTCTAATACGGTCACCGTGCCCCACCCTGTACTACAGTATAGGTCTTATAGCTTTGACATTATGTACTGTGATTAAGTCATGCTGTAATGTACAGCACATACATAACATTATTGTTGTTACTGCACTTTAAATATTTGTCTTCCAAGAAGATTTGCAACAATTGCTTTCAGTAAAGTGTAAAATTGGAAGCCTGTTGAATGTTTTGTTTTTTCTTGGCAAGAGTACTAGTTTTTTCTTTGTCTCATGAAATTGTAGTATTTGCATTCAGTATGCACTTATCTCAACTTTCCCTTTCAGTTCAGATAGTGGCAGTATAAAACTTGGCCTCCATGACACTGATCCCAGGAAACATAATGACAACAGTTAACAGATAACTTCTATTACACATTTCTAGATATTAGAAAGAGATTCAGGTGAAAAATATTCACTTGGAATTTTTCATAAAAAATGTATTTTGCATGCTGCAATTTTTATTATGTAGTGTTTTTTTTGGTCAACAGCTAGGTAATCGTGTGATGGTAGAGATCACTTGATTATCGACAGCTTGAGATACGAAAATGGTCTAGTTTCTACTGCTAATGGGTCAGCTCGGAATAGGGCTTGACCGCACAGTGTCCTAATTACCAGTCAAAATGGAAATGGAACCACCGCTATAGACCAGCCTAAAAATGTGTGACTAAATCCACTTCTTTGTAAAATTTGGTATTGTGTCTATAATCTTTGCATGGTACATTTTAAAAGTAATGATTCTTTTTGTTAAACTTAAGTGTCACACCTTCTTATATCATGGGGAACAACAAATTGTATTTGTAAAGAAATATAATTTTTGCGTATAAGTTATGGTGAAGCACTAAATCCACATGGGTCTTTAGCTCAATATTGTGTGATGGAAGCTTCAATCTTCTGTCTTGCTGAGAGACGTAAATATTACATTGTATGAAAATGAAAAAAAAATTACTTTAAAGAATTTAAATGTGTTAGGGGTAAATTACAAGAAGTTAATGTTCAAAATTATATTCCAAGCTCGGCTAATGCTGCTCCAGAGTTTGAAGGCCGAGGGGTGAGGATTTAGCCAACAAGCCTGATTTTCCATGTTGGAACGAGTATATTCCTTTCCAATACACTCAAACACTGCCAAAACTTTGTGTTGTTCCATGCAAGCATGTCAAAGTGCTCTTTGGTGGATATTGAGGTAATTCTGTAATTATTTTTTAGTAGACTAAGTACTTGTATCTACTTTTTAATTAGTATTTCTTCTCTCTCCTACAATATTCTCTGTTGCATTTTTCTTAAATGACTTAAATTTGAGCTTAATATTTAATTTCCCTCCAACAGTAAATAATTTTTAAAGGTACAGCACGTTGTATATTATAATGGTTAGGAAGGACAAATAAATAATTTGCAGTTCGTCTAGTATATGATAATTGTTTATTAATGATGTTGGGTAAGACTCCTTTTAAGTTGCCTTAGGAAACCAAGGTTTAGACAAAGTTTATAAAGTGTGCTACTAGCTAATGTACAGTATGATATTATAAATCATTATACTGATTTTTGTGGTTTCAGAGGACCCATATACTGATATTTCACTTTGGTTGACATTCTTAAAAATTAATTACCAAATTAAGACATTCTGATGTGGTAAAGTCATCATGTCAAAGGAACATTAGATAATTGAATCTGTTTGCTGACTGCCATCTGTAAAAGCATTATATAATCAAAATTCATGAATATAACAACACATGAATTTACTGGGACAACTGTACTATACTTCATGTATTGACATCATGATTGCTCTTCTACTTTATCTCTTTAAGTGAAAAGGAATAAAAGTATATAATTGTATGGTAGAGCTATAACGTACAGATATTTGTAACAATATATTTTTCTTAGATACTGGAATGTGGTGGAAATTTGTTTGATGCTGTAAGTTTGGGTGTGAAAGCAGCACTCTGGGCTACCAAGATGCCAAGAATCTACATTACTGGAGAAGATGGTGGAGAATTAGAGTTCTCAGTGTCTGATAACCCATGTGATGTTGACAGACTTGATGTCTCCAATGCCCCTATTCTCATAACTCACTTGCGAGTAAGTTATATGTTTTTTTTTTTTTTTTTTTCAACAAGTCGGCCGTCTCCCACTGAGGCAGGGTGACCCAAAAAAAAAGAAAGAAAATCCCCAAAAAGAAAATACTTTCATCATCATTCAACACTTTCACCACACTCACACATTATCACTGCTTTTGCAGAGGTGCTCAGAATATAACAGTTTAGAAGCATATACGTATAGAGATACACAACATATCCCTCCAAACTGCCAATATCCCAAACCCCTCCTTTAAAGTGCAGGCATTGTACTTCCCATTTCCAGGACTCAAGTCCGACTATATGAAAATAACCGGTTTCCCTGAATCCCTTCACTAAATATTACCCTGCTCACACTCCAACAGATCGTCAGGTCCCAAAAGTATCATTCGTCTCCATTCACTCCTATCTAACACCTCATGCACGCTTGCTGGAAGTCCAAGCCCCTCACCCACAAAACCCTCCTTTACCCCCTCTTTCCAACCCTTTCGAGGACGACCCCTACCCCCTCTTTCCTTTCCCTATAGATTTATATGCTTTCCATGTCATTCTACTTTGATCCATTCTCTCTAAATGACCAAACCACCTCAACAACCCCCTTCTGCCCTCTGACTAATGCTTTTATTACCTCCAAAACCTTTTCCCTAATTTCCACACTCCGAATTTTCTGCATAATATTTACAACCACACATTGCCCTTAGACAGACATCTCCACTGCCTCCAACCGTCTCCTCGCTGCTGCATTTACCACCCAAGCTTCACATCCATATAAGAGTGTTGGTACTACTATACTTTCAATACATTCCCTTCTTTGCCTCCATAGATAACGTTTTTTGACTCCACATATACCTCAACGCACCACTCACCTTTTTTCCCTCATCAATTCTATGATTAACCTCATCCTTCATAAATCCATCCGCCGACACGTCAACTCCCAAGTATCTGAAAACATTCACTTCTTCCATACTCCTCCTCCCCCAATTTGATATCCAATTTTTCTTTATCTAAATCATTTGATCCCCTCTCACCTTACTCTTTTCTATGTTCACTTTCAACTTTCTACCTTTACACACATTCTCAAACTCATCCACTAACCTTTGCAATTTTTCTTTAGAATCTCCCATAAGCACAGTATCATCAGCAAAAAGTAACTGTGTCAATTCCCATTTTGGAATTTGATTCCCCATAATTTAACCCCACCCCTCCCCCCGAACACCCTAGCATTTACTTCTTTTACAACCCCATCTATAAATATATTAAACAACCATGGTGACATTACACATCCCTGTCTAAGACCTACTTTTACCGGGAAGTATTCTCCCTCTCTTCTACACACCCTAACCTGAGCCTCACTATCCTCATAAAAGCTCTTTACAGCATTTAGTAACTTACCACCTATTCCATATACTTGCAACATCTGCCACATTGCTCCTCTATCCACTCTATCATATGCCTTTTCTAAATCCATAAATGCAATAAAAACTTCCCTACCTTTATCTAAATACTGTTCACATATATGCTTCAAGTTATATGTATGGTATGTTAAATAACAGTGCTTAGATTTTTGTAAGAGTCATGTTTTGTACAGTATCTTAGAGGTAGAAAAGTGAATGGTTGAAATGGGTGATGTTCCTTTTGTTGCATTTCCAGCCACTTACCTCTAAAGCATACAGATGCATTGTAGAAAAAGTTTTGAAATGTATGTATTAACATTTATGTTTTAGGAAGTTTTGAATACTGATCCACCTTTCTCCTTTCGTAGATTACTGAGAATTTGACTGTTGTTGACCCAACCCCTGAAGAAGAATGCTGTGGCCCTGTGCAGATAGTAGTTGGTGTTACCCCAAAAGGATTAATTACTGCAACACAACAATTTGGTTCAGGCACATTTACACCTCTGACATTAAGTGCTTCAATTAGGGTAAGATTTTTTCTTTCTGTAATGCTGTATTTGGGATTTAACTTTAATAAACTACTGCATTCAAAAGACACCAAATAGTTTCTCATTTCTATATACATTACAGTGTACTGAAGATTATCTATAAAAAATTATCAAATTATCATGTACTGTAATAAATAACACTTGCACCCTTGGCACTATTATACTGCTTCAGCTGGATTAGGTCTGAAGAAATTTTGCCTCTTGAATGGAACCTATGGCCTTCCTTTAAAATTCTGTATCACATGGTTAACTAACAACTTGTGTGGGTACTTTTGGACTAAACTGAATTTCCCATCAGTTTGGTTATAGGAAGGGACCATTCCACCAACTACCCTGCTATATCTTGAAATATACATTTGCACTGCCTTTCCTGAATACCATTTTGTTAGGGCAGTTTTTTCTTTTCTGTTTTTACCTGGAAAAAGCCTGTTACACAATTTGCAATAGCAAATCTTAAATCCCATTTTTACTATGGGGCTATTCCACCTTGCCTGGCAAGGGCTCTTGATTCAAGAAATTGAACTTGTCTTATGCTTCCTTGGATTGAACTCGATTGCCTTCCATTCCCCAGGTGCTGTATAACCCCTATAAGTTTAGCTCTTCCTTCTGAAGGTAATAATAATTAGCTTGATGACATTTATGGGGCACTTTTAACTAGGAGAATGTCAAAGTATTGGTGAGTATCAACTAATTTTGACAGTATCATTACCAGCCTAAAATTGATTATCCGTATTGGAAAAAGTTTTGGTATCGTCCCATCCCTACTCTTAAGATTCCCCATTCAACACTATCCAGTATGGCTTATCTATTATGGTTTTCCAGTGCACTAAATTTCTTAGCCTCCTTTTCAGTTGCCAAATGTAGAGATCCCAAAAAGCCTCCATAAAAGCTGTTTTAGTAGACTGAGCACAGTAAATAATTTCTTATTTTTCCTGTATAACTGATACAAAAGTCTTTGTCTTCATTCAGCCTTGGTCTTATCTAAATTAGACTGAGGACAGGTATATTCCTCTGCTTCCATAGTTGCTTTTGTTATATTCCTCTGCTTCGACAACTACTCTTGCTATATTTATCTGATCGCACAACTACAGCAGTCCCCCGAGATATGAAATTAGTGTGTCCTACAAGATGGCTTGCAACGTGAAAAGTCAGATCATGGAAACGTACTTAACACTACTTTCCATGTTAAAAATTTTAATGCATGTTTTAGGTCAAAAATTACCTCAACTTCATGTCATTTCATGTTAAATCAGACAGTTTTAGAGTAAATAATGTTCTGAAATAGTCAAAACAGCATTACAAAAAAAAAAAAAAAAAAAAAAAATACCAACTGCATCATCATTATAAGTCATTTCATTACTGAACGAGAACTCTGAATTCACATTATAAATCATTTCATGACTGAAAGAAAACTCTGAATTCACATTTACAGTTTGATGACCATAAAATTGTAGAGTGAATGATTAAAAACTGTTTTTGTAATCATAAAATAAAAAGAATAAAGTAACTACTCAATAAAGTTCTTAAGAAGATAATGAAATCTCATTTTCAGTTGTCTTAAGACAATATCCAAATTATTTTCCCAGCTAAATATAGAGGTTTGACAGCTGTTTGAGAGGTGGGAACTAGCAGGAAAACATTTAATATTGTTGGTAACTGTATGTCCAAGATAATAATAAATAAAAAATTCATTTACCTTTGGTGTTCTATGCAGGAAGTGATCATAAGATATTCAAGAAATTTTAAATGTTCTCAAAATTTTAGGTTCAGTTTCTAAATATGAGTGCCCATATGTTCACTTGAGGTGGCTTTCTCGTTTTTAATTTCATCAGTGGGTTGAGAGTTAGTTTAATAGTTGAATTATGCACTCCATTTACTAGCTATAACAGAATTGAATTCTAGTATTTTCTGCAAAATAAAGCTTTTTAGAAATTAATAACAAACCCATTCAGGTTATGTCTTTGGACCATTTGCTAATTGTTAAAGAAGTTAAATTTTATGGTTTCAAATCTATGTCAATAAATATTGTGATTACTTGGTGAGTAATGAAAAGTTCAAAGTATGTTTTTTCTTCACATGACAGAGTGCAAGAGACCTTGGAGTCAAGATTCACCAAAAACTAATGCAAAAGTTACAGCAAGAAGAAAGTATTGTGGATAGACCAATAAAAGGGTTTCTTTAGCACTTTGTGTACTTAAACCATTTCCTAACAAATGAAGGCTGTAAGTTGGTTACAAATTCTAGTTCACATACCCTGACTTTTTACTCTGAATAATATAATGAATACTATAGGGATCCAACTTACGACAATAATACATTTTAATAATTGTTTGTAGGCAAGTTGTTCAGAATTCGGACTTGTTCACCATAGACACTCATATTATAATTGAAGATGTGTTTTTGAGGCATAGTATTCAGCATCTAATTTCATTACTTTAACCAAGAATATTTAACAAAGTGCCAATATCATAGTTGTGAAACTGTAAATTGAAGCATCATAAATCAGGGCTCTTCTGTATTGAAGTTAATGAAGTGAGCTAGTAACATTTAAAAAAAAATTGTTTTTTTTGATTATAAAGGCTATATACTGTACACTATTTTAACAAACATGCATTTGTTGACTGTATTGACATTACATCAGACAATAAAACCATATGCTATAAGAATCTGATGACAATAGATCTAAAATTGAAGTTGGAAGCTAAACGTACAAATTCTTGAATTATATAGAGTATCTTTATCAACTGTTGTATGATTTTCCTTTATGTGCTGTAAGAACACATTGAATAACCTTTAAAATCTGGCCAGAAAACTAGCTTGCAATTGTACTACAATACTGTCTATGCTTCCCTTAGTAACAGAAACCCCACTTTTTTTTTTTTCAACCAAAATTTTCAAGTATATGTTGAATCATTAGTATTGCAAATAGCACTTAGTTCTGATTGTAATAATAATAATTAGTATTGCAGAGAGTTTAATAAGTTGAGGAATTTATTTATTATTTATTAACCACTGGCCAATTCCCACCAAGGCAGGGTGGCCCGAAAAAGAAAAACTTTCACCATCATTCACTCCATCACTGTCTTGCCAGAAGGGTGCTTTACACTACAGTTTTTAAACTGCAACATTAACACCCCTCCTTCAGAGTGCAGGCACTGTACTTCCCATCTCCAGGACTCAAGTCCGGCCTGCCGGTTTCCCTGAATCCCTTCATAAATGTTACTTTGCTCACATTCCAACAGCACGTCAAGTATTAAAAACCATTTGTCTCCATTCACTCCTATCAAACACGCTCACACATGCCTGCTGGAAGTCCAAGCCCCTCGCACACAAAGCCTCCTTTACTCCCTCCCTCCAACCTTTCCTAGGCCGACCCCTACCCACCTTCCTTCCACTACAGACTGATACACTCTTGAAGTCATTCTGTTCGCTCCATTCTCTCTACATGTCCGAACCACCTCAACAACCCTTCCTCAGCCCCTGGACAACAGTTTTGGTAATCCTGCACCTCCTTTCCCAACTTCCAAACTACGAATTCTCTGCATTATATTTACACCACACATTGCCCTCAGACATGACATCTCCACTGCCTCCAGCCTTCTCCTTGCTGCAACATTCATCACCCATCCTTCCCCACCCATATAAGAGCATTGGTAAAAACTATACTCTCATACATTCCCCTCTTGCCTCCAAGGACAAAGTCTTTGTCTCCACAGACCCTAAGTGCACTGCTCACCCTTTTCCCCTCATCAATTTTCTATGATTCACCTCATTTTTCTAGCCCCATCCCTGACACTTTCCACTCTCAAATATCTGAATACATTCACCCCCTCCATACTCCTCCCTCCAATCGATTCCAATTTTTCATCACCAAAATTTTTTTTTTTTCCCCTCAAACCCTTTCCCTTTTTTCCTGTTTTTCATTTTTTAATTTTTTCTTCTTTTCCCATACCCTAAAAAATTCATCCCCCAACCTCTGCAATTTTCTTTTCAGAACCCCCCCAAGACCCAAAATTGTCATCAGCAAAGAGCAACTTTTTACAACTCCCCCCTTTATGTGTGATTCTTTATTTTTTTAACCCCCACGCCTTTTGGGCCAAAGGGACCCTGGGGCCTTTTACTTCTCTTACAACCCCATCAAAAATAATTAAAAAAAACCACGTTTGAATCACACTTTCCTTGTTTTAAGGCCTATTTACGGGGAAATAATCTCCCTCTTCTTACATACTCAAACCTTGGGGCCTCATATCCTCGAAAAACTCTTCACTGCTTTCAGTAACCTACCCCCTTTTACACCATCCACCTGCAACATCTGCCACATTGCCCCCCCATCCACCCGTTTATACGCCTTTTCCAAAACCAAAAAAATGCAAAAAAAAACCTCTTTAGCCTTATCTAAATACTGTTCACTTATATTTTTTACTGTAAAAACCCCGGGCCACACCCCCCTACCTTTCCCAAAGCCTCCCTTTTTCTTTTTGCAACCTATTCTCCGTCTTACCTTAATTCTTTTAATTTAAAAACTCTACCCTACACTTTTCAGGGATACTCAACAGACTTTTTCCCCCTATAATTTTTGGGATTCTCTTTTTTCCCCTTTTTCCTTTATAAAAAAGGGAAATTTTGCATGCTTTCTGCCAATCCCTGGTACCTTACCCTCTTCCCCTACATTTATTAAATAATTGCAACCCAAACACTCCAAAACTTTATCCCCAAACCCGCTTTTAAAAATTTCTAAACTTTAAACCCATAAAACCCCGGCTTTCCTTACCCCCTTTTTATTTTACGTACTTTTCCTTACGAACTTTCCCCCCCACCCCAACTGGCTCTTCCTCACTCCTACCAAAAGTTATTCCCCTTGGGCCCTTTACACAAAACATAGCTTCCCTATCTTTCTCACCATTTTAAATTGAGGGGAAACCTGATTAAATTTTTATTTCTCTTTAAAGGGGGGCTCCTTGGTGCAGTGAAGAGGCTTTTTGGGCTGAGGGGAAATTTGGGCCTTTTGGTCTTCCTGAGGGCCAAGCCCAATTAAACCCCCTTTTCCCATCCCATCTTCCCCCTCCCCCTTTTTCCCCTTTTCCCCCCCTTCCAAAATCCCCCCCCTGTTCCCTTCCTGGTTTTTAAACCTTTGGGGGGTTTTCCCCCCAGGCCTTCAAGTTCCTAGGGAGGGGGGGTTGGGGACCCCTGGCCCATCCCATTCCCGTTCGCGTCCTTGGGGGGGGGTGTAGTTTGCCGGGGGAACTGGGAAACAACCCGGGGGGTGCCGATCCCCTCCTGTCTCCCGGGGTATGGCTTTGGGTGTCTTTTGGGTGACAGGTGTATCTCTGGAGGCTACCTTTTGGATTCTGGGGGGTGGTGGCCAAAGGAATTATGCTCTGTGGGAGGTGTCTGGCTGCTCTCTTTGTCCACTGAGGTGGCTCAGCAGATGTGAGGTTGCTATCCTGGATTGCTGGTTTACAGACATGAAGGGTAGGGTATGTCACGGGTTCCATGCCGCATCTGCACTACTTGCGTGCTGAGGTCCTCTTGGGCACGGAGGGAGATTTACAGCCCTTTCATTCCTCCTAGGAGCTATTCCTCCATGTTCCTACCTTTTTTATTTTTTTTTATTTTCTTTCCTTTTTTTTCTAAAAAACAAAAAGAAAGGAGTGACCTAACCATGGAGTTCCCAATCCATGAACCTGCTTCCCCCAGGCCCCGTCTTGATACCGCACCCTGTTCTGACCCTGCCTCATTATTTGACCACTCTTTGGACATTTCTAATGCCCCTGTACCTCCTGCTGCTGTTTCAACACCTGCTCCAGGTACCGGTGTTTCGACTGACTCCTTCAATACGTCTGACTCCTGCTCTTCTTTGACTATGCTTCCAGCTTCTTCCTCTATGGTGCGGAAATTTTCGGATCGCCCCCCCATCCCACGTCAGGCCACCTTCAGTCCCACACCTAAATGCCCAAGACCATTACCTGATGATAATTCTTAGCTTTTTCTCATTCTGCTTAGAAAAGACCAGCATGTCACACACTCCCTTTACATGCTGTATTTCAAAATACACAATGGACTAAGGTTTTTACTCTATGACCGACTTCCTCTGCTGCCTATCTTTCCAACCATAGTTGTATTGGCAAGGCACTCCTATGCCATGTTGGTAGAAAAACTATATCCTTTCATGCTGTGAAGAGCAGTACATGCATCATCACTGTCCAGAATGCTAACCAAGCTCACGATCTTTCTCTCCTTACAACTATCAATACTATTCCTGTAAGTACTGAAAAATGTCATTCCCTCAATTCTTGTAGTGGCACTGTCATTCTGCCCCATACCATTGTCCAACAGAATTTCCAGATATGTGGCAATGACATTCTAGAGCAGATAGAACTCCAAGACCTCTCAATCCTCAAAGTAGACACTTATGTCCTCCCTGCCTGCAGGTGGAGACAATACCCTTGCAATGTAGTTCGCTAAACTTTTGACTGCTGTGAACTTCCATCCTCTGTATATATAGATGGGATACTGTTTACAAGTCAAAGGGTTAATATTAATATCCTTCCCTGCCTGGCGGCGCTGTATATAACCCTTGTATGTTTAGCGCTTCTTTTTTATTATAATAATTATTATTATTGTTATTATTATTATAATAAAAAGAAGCACTAAACCTACTGAGGAAACCTGAGGAACAAAAGGACTTGCCAATTGAAAATTAAAGAGGGGAGATGTTAGATGGGGAAGTGGAGGTACTGGAATGATGGAGAAAATGTTTTGAGTTACATGTTGACGAGATATTACAAGGACATGGACCCCAATGGAAATAAGTCACTTTGTCTGACTTTTTGGGTTATCCTAGGTAATTTACACACATGTTACTATGTATGATAATTCATGTAGCTGTATATATGCATACCTGTACCTAAATCAGTTTTCTTAGGTAGTAATATCATACCCTGAGCAGCGAAGAATAATATCTGGGAGGAGTAAGGAAGAGTGACTCGAGAAATCGTAATGACATGATTGCAAATAAACCATACCCCCGGCCGGGATTGAACCCGCGGTCATAGAGTCTCAAAACTCCAGCCCGTCGCGTTAGCCACTCTATGACCGCGGGTTCAATCCCGGCCAGGGGTATGGTTTATTTGCAATCGTGTCATTACGATTTCTTGAGTCATGTTGACGGCAGTGAAGGGACTTGAGCTAGAGTTCGTCACGGCCACGCTAGCTGGAGATTCGTCTGTAAAAACTTGCATTTGTGGTCACAGAGGTGCCTGTGCTAACTTTCCTATGGTGTAGAAATATACCTAGTTGGATGAATCTTATTGTGGCTAGCTGGTCTAGTGGCTAACGCGACGGGCTGGAGTTTTGAGACTCTATGACCGCGGGTTCAATCCCGGCCGGGGGTATGGTTTAAGGAAGAGTGAGATGTGAATGTGGGGAAAATGCATAAAGTAATGGGTATTATGAAGGAGGGTAAAGGAGCTGGGACATGAAATTGAGAATAATGTTAACAGCAGGTGGGGATATAGGTTCAAGAGTAATCGGTGTATTCTCTCGGTATATGCATGAAACGAAGATACTTAAAGATTGGCAAAGAGCATACATAGTTCCTCTGTATAAGGAAGAAGGGGTCAACAGAAAGAGTAAGAACTACAGATGAATAACACAGTTGAGTATAATGAGTATTGTAAAATAGAATTATTACTGAAAAAGTTAGGAGTAAAGACAAAGTGGGATTGTAGAGGAACAAGGAGAAATTAGGAAGGGTAAAGGATGTTTAGACCAAGTATTTACAGTGAAGCATACAAGTGATGAAGGGCAAGCCCTCTGTCACATTTATGGGTTTAGGCAAGTGGATAGGGTAGCAATGTGGCAGGTGTTGCAAATATGTATAATAGGTAATGTATTATTATAAAAACAGCAAAGAGATTTTGTGAGTGAATGATGCTTAGGTTAAGGTATGTAGAGGAGAAGGTGCCTATTTTCCACTAGAAGAAGGCCTTGGGGATGTGTGATGTTGCAATAATTGTTTAATACATTTATAGATGGGGTTGTAAAAAAATAAATGCTAGGGTGATAGGATGAAGTGTGGGTTTAAAAAATTGAAAGATGGAAAGTGAGAGTTGTCACAATTGCTCTTTGCTGATGACAGTATTTTTGGGAGAGACTGAAGAGAAGTTGTAAAGGTTGGAGGATGTGTGAAGGAAATTAGAAGTAAACATAGAGTAAGGTGATGAGAGTAAGAAAGAGTTTATAATATTTAAATTTGATATCAGACTGGAATAAGGTAGTATGGAGAAAATTAATGTATTTAGAAATTTGAGAGCAGATGTGTCATCAAATGGGTCTGAAAAACTTTTGAGGCATCTGTGGAGATAAAGACGCTTACCTTTGGAGGTAAGAGAAATGCATCAGAGTATAATGATATCAAGCCCATTCTATGGGTATGGGGCATGGGCTTGAAACATTGCAGTGAGGAGCAGGAGGCTGAGGCTGGAGGTAGTGGAGTTATGTTTAAAATTAATGAGGTATTTTCAATAGGTTATAGATATACACTAGTCTAAGGTGGTATGTCCCCTCAAGGGAAGTTCCTTGATGCTGGTGAGGGGCTCTTGATCCAAGAAATATGATTTGTCCTCCCTTGGATGAACCTAATTGCCTTATATTTCCAGTTGTGTGATCTCTACTTAAATAAAAACTTCCCTATATAAAAACTTACCCAAATAAATACTTTCTTACTTTCCTAAATGAAAACTTATCTAAATAAATTATCTCAATAAATATTCTCATTCCTACTTTAAATAAAGCTTATCCAATGAATACTTTCTTACTTTTCTAAATAAATTATTTCTTTCCTAAATAAAACCTACCTAAAATTAACAAAATCATACTTTCATTAATAAAAACTTAAGCATTCTTACTTTTGTAGATAAAAAATGACCTAAAATAAAACTTCCCTAAATAAAAACTTGCTTACCTAAATACAATTTACATAAACCTTGCTTGCTTAAATATAATTTACATAAAAACTTATCTAAATAAATAAAAACTTACCTGAATTAAAACATACTTAAACTTGTTTAGGTTAAAACGCTTAAACCTACCTTGGCGAAACTTACCCAAATAAAAGCTTGTCTAACCTAAAGCTTTCTAAATAAATAAAACTTAAGTAAATGCAGTTTATATGAATTAAAACTTGCTTACGTAAATATGAACTAGAAAGTTAAGAGTTTCCAGCAGCGCTGTCTAACCCTTGTCGGTTTAACGCTTCCTTTTGATTATAATAATAGTAATACTGGAAGTTTGGAAAGATATATATGTAAGGGTGGCGAGGGCGGCCATCTTGCATCATCAGCTGTTGTTGGCAACAAATATGGCTCTCAGATTGTGACGTTTTGGGTGCTATGCTGTAAAACATCACCGCTGTGCTCCTCTGACAATGCCATTGTTAATCAAAGGGATATAATTGAAATCTTGAATATGTGTTCAAAGTATTTTATGCGTTTCTGGTTGATTCTCAGCGCAACATTGGTGGTTTTTAGTGTATCCGAGACTAGCTCGCCTTTAATGTCTGAAGAAGAGAGGCTCAACCTTAAGTAAGTATTCATGAAGTATATACTCAGACTACTGGGAAGATTATCAAATATTTTTGCATTATTCAGGTATACGATTTGAGTGTGAGTAATTGTTTTTGCTTTGTGGAAGTGAATAAAACTCGATGAAATGTTTATCTGAGTCAGTCTAGTCTAGTAGCATTAGTTACCTACTGAATTCTTCTATTATGCTGGTAAATAAAATATATACAAGTAATTTAGACTAAGGCTATATACCACTGCTCTGCAGAACTTGGGTATTACTTTACATTTTACAATGTATGCAACCTATGCAGCTATTATACAGAATAAATATTTCTTGAGCAAATTATTATTGTGGAAGATCTTTGTGAAAATGATTCATTAATTTTGATAGTGCAGCATGTCAGTCACTCAAGGCTTAGTAACAAGTCATGTTACTTACCTGCTCAGTGTAAACAAAGATGCAAAGCTGATTGTGTAGGTTAGGTTAAGTTAGGTTAGCTTATTGTAGGTTAGGTTTGGTTTTATTTTTTTTTTCTCAAAATACTATATTGACTACAATATCAGCTTAATATTTTACAGCTCAAACTATAATGGCCTAACTAGGCAGAGAAGACGTCATAAACTTTTACTGAATTAAAGGTAAATTTTGAGTTTTTGGGCATTCTTTGAGCTCATTGAGACATTATTATGTAAATTTTTTTTATTAAATGGGTTGCACAGTAGTCATGTTTTATTTGGAGCCGGTGGGATAGCATCCTTGTTTTGGTAACAAAATCTAACCTAAC